TGGCTGGCTGCGAGGTTGCCCGGGACCTGCAGCATCTTCAGGAACCTGGAAGAGATCGCGCAGGTGGAGCCGGTGAAGCACACGACTGCTCAGCAGTTTGCTTTGTTTTAAGTAAAATGTCTTGCTACAGACCGACTTCTCTGGTTCTGGAATTTATCTTTGAAGGAAACTGTGTTTCACTTGTAGATTTGTAGTGCCAGTTACAGCTTTGACTGAATGTGAACTTTATCTAAACTTTTTCACTGACGATTGTGTGTCAGGTGCCCTGCTGAACGCTGGAGAAGAAAAATGGGCGGTCCTTGCCTCATCAGAGTTTACAGCCTAGAGGGAGAGACAGACTGCCACGTGGACGGATACTGCACACCAAGATGTGTGCTCTAGGAGAGAAGGAACTCGTCTGTCTTGTTCGGCACTGTGTCCCCAGCCCGCGCGTAGGAGGCACTCCATAATCGTTATCATCTAAATCAGGGCTTGGCAAGCCATGGCCCGCGAGCCAAATCTAGCCTGCCACCTGCTTTTGTGAATAAAGTTTTGTTGGGACACAGCCATACTCATTCATTTACGTATTCTCTATGGCGGCTTTTGCCCCACAGTGACAGGATTGAGTAGTTGTTTCAGAGACCATCTGGCCCACAGAGCCTAAAATATTTACTATCTGGCCCTTTACAGAAAATGTTTGCCAACCCCTGGTCTAAATGAACTAAAAGGAGAGGCAGACTGTTAGGATGAATGTGTCCAAGGGCCCCAGACAGGGGGGTGGGGGGGAGTTTCTCAGATGAAGTGTCCGCCAAGTTGAGATAAAAGAGCAGACGCTGAGTCCAGGTCAGGGACAGCTTCTTCTGAGGCCCTGTTGTTGGGGTTGTTGGGGTAGCAGAGTGCAGAAAGCGCCTTGAGGAACTAGCTTGAGCACTGAGCAAGGGAAAGAATAGTGGGAAATGAGGTCCCAAGAGAGAATCAAGCCTAGTAGGCTGCTTAAAGACTTTGGGTCTTTATGTTAAGAAGCCTTTGAAGTGTTCAAGTAAGCATTGTGATCTGCTGGATGTCCTTTTGGAAAGAATGCTTGGTGTAGAGCACCCTGGAGAGGAGCAGGGGTGGGTATGGGGGAGGCTGCTGGAGAGCTGTTATAATATTCCAGTCAAGGAATGAGGGAGCTTGAATGGGGGCTATTCACGGGGAGGTTTTTGTTTCTCTGTCTTTCTTTTAAGTTTTATTTATTCATTTAAGTAATCTCTACACCCAACATGGGGCTCAAACTCACAGCCCTGAGATCAAGAGTTGCGTACTCTTCGGACTGAGCCAGCCAGGTGCCCTTCTGTTTCTCATTTTTAAATGGAAGATTCTAGAGATATTCAATATGTAAACTAACAGGATGACTTGGTCCTGCCCTTCTGTTGTTTCAGATATTGGGCATGTTTGTAGGAGTGACTTTTCTTCCTGCCCATACTGCCACGTTGGTGTTGATCCTGCTCTGCTATTCTGGAGCTCTTTATCTCAAACCCCGGGAAGGAATGAACATCAGCGGGAGCTTTCTCATTGTGCTGATCATTTCTTGAGAGGATGGACATACTTGTTAGAAACAGTCCACGCTGTGCTGGCACCTCTGATGCCCTAGATACATCTTGGTGTTACTGTTTTTTATCCTAATGATTGGCGTGTTTTTGAAATTTGATATTTTTAAATTTATGTAAATGAAAAAAATTATCTTTCTCACGTGATTATCTCCTTAATTCCAGTGTTAGCCTTTGACCCTTGGCCCTTCGCTGCTCTTGTAAAGATCTAAAGGGAGAGAACTACCTGTGAAAGTACAGAATTTAAGTACTTAACAGCATTAGCCTCTCACTACCCCAGAGAGGTTCATAAATTGCTTTTTCTTACAGAATGTTATGTAGCTCCGAATGTAAAGATCTAGGTTTATTTATTTTTCTCATAAGCAACAGCATTGCCCTATATTTTATCATCTCATAGTGTCTAAAATTAAGTGTTTTGGGGGCACCTGAGTGGCTCCGTCTGTTAAGTGTCCGACTCTTGGTTTTGGCTCAGGTTATGCTCTCGGGGTCCTGGGACTGAGCCCCGTGCGTCAGGCTCTGTGCTCAATGGGGAGTCTGCTTGAGATTCTCTCTCTCTCTCCATCTGCCCCTCCCCCCAATCAATCAATAAATCTAAAAAAATAAATGTTTTGAAAATTAAATGTTTTGGCTTGTTTTTGTATTCATGTTTCTTATTTACAGTTTCAGATTTTGATTATAAATATTTATAGAAAATGCCAAAACATAATCATCTGAGTAGCAGGGTGGCATATGTTGGAATTGTCCTACAATATTTATTGAAAACTCATTGGGTTTTATGGTTTTTTATTTCCAGACAATGTAGTTCTTTGTCTTTTACTCTGTTCATTTCAAACAGAATAAATTAAACAGTTTGATTATTAAAATATCTTTGCTTTACATGTGAAAAGAAGCTCAACATTACTAATTATTAAGGAGATGCAAATCCAAATCCCAGTGAGATACCACTTGACAGCCATTAGGGTGGCTGCTATTCCAACAGAAGTTAACAGGTGTGGTCAAGGGTGTGGAACAAACGGAGCCCTTGTGTCCTGCTGGTAGGAATGTTTACCGTGGTGCAGCCACTGTGGAAGACAGTATGGCAGTTCCTCAAAAAATTAAACTTAGGAGCGCCTGGGTGGCTCAGTCGGTTAAGCCGCTGCCTTCGGCTCAGGTCATGATCCCGGGGTCCTGGGATCGAGCCCCGCATCGGGCCCCCTGCTCAGCGGGAAGCCTGCTTCTCCCTCTCCCTCTGCCTGCCTCTCTGCCTACTTGTTCTCTCTCTCTCTCTGTCAAATAAATAAATAAAATCTTTATAAAAAAAAAATGTAAGGTAGAATTTTTTTTTCTGCCCCATTAAGCCCATCTTTAACAAAAAGCTTACTAAAATCCACGCCAGCAATAAACATTAAACGTTGTAGATTATTTTAATAGTACGTATTTTACAGTTATTTTCTACCTACTGGAAGTACTTGCTTGGAATCAGAATTAGCTGTTGTGCCTCGAGGTTGTAGCATCTCCTCTTCTAGGGCCTTCCGAATACCCTGTGGTGCACACGTTCTGATGTGTGCGTGTTCGGCATTATCAGTAAATTATATACTTGCCAGAGATCAACTTAAAATGGAAATGTTGTCGGGGAAATAGTCTTTGAGACACTAGTCCACTGGCTTCCTGGTGTTGGCGTCACTGAAATAAATTCCTTTCTTGTTTCACCACACACACACACACAAAAAGAAATACTGTTCTTTTGATTTGGGGGTAAAAGTTATTCTTCCATTTGTAAAATTTTGAAACATGCTGCTTGCAGATCATTTGCCTTGTAGATAGACATACTCTGTAGACATTTCCATTGCTTTAACAGGAATTGAAAATGCTTTATAATCGATTAACTATAATTACCGTAGTCTTAATATTTATTCTTAATTTTGACTTACTTAAATCATTTGTAGTATTGCCTTTCAAAAAGGTGGAAGTATAAGGATGACAGATTTTAAGTGAGTATGTTATTTAATTACCTGCAATAAATCAGTATTTTTACAGCTGATTGACCATTAGCAACATGTTATTTTATCTTCTTAAAACATCCGTAATTTTTGTCAGCCATGTTAATTTTCCTGATTTAATTTTGTCCCTTAAATTTATAAAACTACTTTCCCCAATATACATTATTGTTTTCTGTGTAATTATAGGGAATATTATAGTTAGCTATTGCTGACAATAACTGATTAGGGCTAACTTTCCTGTTACTGGCAATGATTTATTGCTCAGCACGGAGCTTGTAATTTAAAATGATTCATAGGTTGCATGGTCTTTTGCCATTAATCAATATTACTGCATTTTATTAGAATAAAGAGCATCAGGGGAGCTGATTCCATACTATTTTTAGTCAGAAAAGTAATAAATTTCATAATTGATGGTAATAACCATTTTGCAACCAAATTATTTAAAATTTACAGTTAACTGTATTGTATGCTCTCTACTCTTTAGTTAGTATTTAAAATGTTCACATTTCCATCTCTGAGAAACTGTATCCATATGAAAATTACAACTGATGTGAGCTATCAACACAGTTATCAGTGGTGTCGAGTAAGCTTATAGGCAGAAGCAAAGTGAAGTATGGATTGATTTGGGAAGATGAAGTGTACGTATGTAACGTAAAATGTTTCTCTTGCTGAAGTGTAAAGATACTAGCGAGATGCTTCTTGTTGCCTGGCCCCATGACCTCTCCTGTGCGTGTCGAGAGCAATGCCATGACCTTCCGGGCCCCATTGTGCACCCTCATCAGGTGCCAGCCCCGGGGGCCAGGATGCTCTGGCCACAGCACTTGGCAGACGAGGGAAGGAAGTGTTCCAGGACCCGGGCAGTCCTCCTGCCCGATCCTCTCGTCTTTCCCATTCTGAAGACTCCCTCCGCTCCTTCGCAGCTACCGGGTGCTGCCTGAGAACCGTCTGGATTTCCTGTCACTGCTTTCCTATACATGTTTCATCTGCCCTCTTCTCGTGGCCTTGCCCAGATCTCTGTCTTTGACGGTCAAAGATAAGCTAGGATGATTTTCAGTATATATTTGCAACTTATAAATTTTTCTTATAAGAGAATAATGTAACATAAAATTTCTTCTAGGTTACATGTAATACTAGAAGTGTGAAAGCTGCTTCTTAAATATGAGTCTTAAAATACTCTTTTAAGCCCTGTTATGTTGCAGATACTGTGAGTTCAGTAGTCTTCAATGTTTAAGGGGCTCTCGATTTTAAGTGGGTGGCGGTCAGGAGTGAAAACACTGGGAATTTAATAAGCTAAACAAATCTAATTAGATATGATACTGCCTCCTTTCTGCTTTCCCCCAAAGCCATCCTAAAGACAGATCATCTCGAAATTATTTTGAACTTGAAACGCCCATTTCTACTTCTCCTCTGTTTCACTCTTACTATGTTCTCTCTCGGTCGGTGCCCTTTGCAGTCTCAGCGGGCTGGGGAGAGATGCCTAATGTCCACTCAAAGGCTGAGAGCTCTTGGGGAGAGCCGTCCTCCCCCTCCGCCCTGGTTGACAACGGCACCGCAGCATGGGGCAAGCCACCCAGCAGCGGCAGCGGATGGGGGGACCAGCCCGCGGAGCCACCGGTGACGTTCGGGAGAGCCAGCGCCCCCGCCCCCACCCCAGCCCTGTGCAAACCAGGTAAGCCTGACTCGGTGCTTGAGAAGTGGGTCAGGCTCTTCTTGAGAGGGATACTTTCTGTTGAATTTTAAGAATTCAAGGTTTAGGACACTTTACTCCTTTTATTTGTACTTTAAGACTAACACATTTGCCACGTCTGGTACAGGGACACAGAGGAGCTCTTAACAGAAAGCCCATGCTCTCCTTAAAAAAAAAAATTAGTTACCAGAATCCAAACCACACACCGTGTGTGTGCCAGACACCGGGAGTAGTACGTGCGCCGCAGTGGCCTTCTTGGGCCTGCCCTCCGCTCCTGCCTCCCTGAGCGGCGGGGTGGAAGAAGGCGTGCCAGTGGTCCTTCCTGAGACCCAACAGTGCTCCACAGCGCTCGGCCCTTCCTGCCTCGCTTGCGTCTTGTGAGCACCGTTCTACTTCGGGTGCTCCAGGCTGACGCTTTTTCTTTTCTTTCTTCCTTTCCTTTCCTTTCTTTTTAGAAGAAAAGGAAACAACCATTTGGTTGCATTGTCCTCCCATTCTCTGGAAGTGTAATAAGTACACCTGTGAAACATCCGTTCTCACAAATGTCCACATTCCGTTCACCGAGTGGAACTCTGTGACATATGGGAATTTGACAATGCTATACGTGGGACATTAGCATGAACCTAAGATTGTCATTTAAGTCTAATAATAAGATCAGTTGTTCACATGGCTGCAAAAGCTTCGTATTTTCTTTGGACAACATTAAGTGTCTTAGATCTAAAATGCAACTTTATGCGTTTGATATTTTTGCTATTGCATTTTGCATTAGTTTTGTGTTTGTTACTTTGCTAACACCAGATAGTGTGTTCTGTAGATCTACCATTCTGCTGGATTATTATTCCATTCATTCACTTTCTTGTTGCAAATCTAAAGAATAAGAAGGTACTTAGATTCACATGCTATCTTGAGGGGATATATTTGTTTTTATAATTTGAACTTGGAGGCATTATTATACACGTGTCTGCCTTGAAAAAGCATCATATCTTCATAGTCTTACAGACTCCGGCTAACTGTACTATCACTTAATCTTTGGCCTTCTTCACCTTCTCCCAGGAAGTGAAAATTTGGGTTAACTTTTATATCCAAAATCACTTTATATCTTCAAAAAGTAGAAAAAATAATATCCTGAAATCAAAACTCAGTAGTCAGCTTGGGCTCCATCTGCCCATGGCCTCAGCTGTCTCCATCCTGTTGTTCTGAGAGTATCTCCTGGGAGCTTGTCAGAAACAGACTATAGGGCCCAACCACAGATCTGTGCGTTTCTCGTGATCCCCAGGTGACTCCTGGCTGTTCACTTTGAAGGAGCACTAGTCTGAATACTGCTGCAGGTTTGGATCAAGTGGTAATCAAAAACCACATGGACGGGGCGACTGGGTGGCTCATTTGTTAAGCATCTGCCTTCTGGCTCAGGTCATGATCCCAGGGTCCTGGGATTGAGCCCCACATCAGGCTCCCTGCTCTTTGGGGAGCCTGCTTCTCCCTCTCCCACTCCCCCTGCTTGTGTTCCCTCTCTCACTCTCTCTCTCTCTCTGCCAAATAAATAAATAAATCTTTAAAAAAAAAAAAAAACACATGGAGGACAGTGGTATTTTTTAGGACTCTGCATTTTACCGGCTGTTTCATACCATGCAGACATTGCCACCTTCTCCTGTAGTCCCCAGGATTTATTGTTAGGAAGTCCACGCTTCAAAATCACCTCTAGCCGGTTAAGGGAGTTTGTAACAGCACAGACGACAAATAGCTGGGGTTTGAAGAAAAAAAACATATACACATTTGCATATGTATTCTGTAACTAGCTCAAGAAATTCAATTCTTAGGTCTTGGGGAAACAAAGTAGTAAAAAGGTAGATTACAATACACCCCTTTTGTCCCCCCTTCCCCTAAATGATGTTATAGTATAGCATCTGCTTTAGGAGAGGTGAGTTTGGTAAGTTCATGTTTGCTCTCTTTCTAGCTTCAAAATCTATGCAAGAAGGCTGGGGCAGTGGTGGGGACGACATGAACCTTGGCACCAGTCAGTGGGAAGATGAAGAAGGGGGCATGTGGAATAATGCTGCTTCCCAAGAAAGCACCTCCTCCTGCAGTTCCTGGGGGAACGCCCCCAAAAAAGGACTCCCAAAGGTGTGTGCAACACTAAAGAAAGGAAACTCTAAAAATCAGTGGTACTTAAAAACACATTCAGGGTAGAGGTTGTATCTCCAGTTAACGATGACTGGTAGACCAGGAGTTTTTTGCGGGCTGTGGGTACTTCTGGAAAACCCTGAGATTTTGTCAGGGGTCTCGCCTGAGTGAAGGCTGGAGTTTTCCAGAGACTATCTGGCATTGCTGTGACAGCAAAGCAAAGGCAGAGACAGACATGAGAATCCAGCCGCTTCTAAGAAGCCAGACAGTAAGGAGATTTGCAAGTATGTACAACAGTGCCACTCTTCTCACTGAAAGTTCTTGTTTTAGAAAACGTAATTTTCCATTAAAAAAAAAATGTTATTGGTGTTAACACAGAATGGGTTTATTATTGTAATTTTTAAACAAATTATTTTTAAATTTATCAGTTTTAATTTCTAATACAGTAAATATTGATAAATGCAACCCATATAACCAGAATTTCTTTAGAATCCTCAATCTTTAAGAGAGGGTAATGGGGTTGGTCCTCAGACCATTAAGTCTGAAACTCCTGAGGTAGACCATTAAGTCGTCTTGTAGCAAACAGGCAGCCATCTGGAAAAATTAAGTGAGATCCACAACTCATATATGCACCAAGATAAAATCCAAGTAGGTCACAAATTTAAGTATGATAAATAAAAATATAAAATGGGAAAGAATTTGAGAAACAGTCTTGGAGTGGGACCAAAATCTAACAGCTATCAAATGAAAGACTTACAAATCGGTAGATACACGTGAAAACTGTGCACGACAGAAAATACCAAAAAGTCAAAAGACAAATAACAAGCTGGAAAAAAAAATTTGTATGCTAGCATGGAGAGAGGTGATCTCCCAAATATATAAAGAAAGGTCCTAGAAACTGATTTTTTAAAAAATCAGTTAGTAACCCACTAGAAAAAGGTGCAAAGAATATAAATAGATGGTCCCTGGAAAAGGAATGCAGACAGCTCTTACACATATGAAAGGGTGTTCAGCCTGTTTTCTTATGGAAAGAAACTACACTGCGAGGGGCGCCTGGGTGGCTCAGTCGGTTCAGTGTCTGACTCTTGATTTCAGTTCGGGTCACCATCTCAGGATCATAGGATCCAGCCCCACGTCGGGCTCTGCACTCAGTGCGGAGTCTGCTTGTCCCTCTCCCTCTGCTCTTCTCCCCTCCCCCCACGCTCTCTCTCAAATAAATAAATCTTTTTTTCTTTTTTTAAGATTTTATTTACTTATTTGGGAGACAGCACAAGCAGGGGGTGAGGCTGGGGGAGAGGTGGAGGGAGTGGGAGAAGCAGACTCCCTACTGAGCAGGGAGCCTGATGCGGGACTCGATCCCAGGACTCTGAGACCATGACCTGAGCCGAAGGCAGTCCCAATAAAATCTTCTTAAAAAACAAATAAAACAACAACGAAGATGCCAGTTTTCATCTCTCAGACCAGCGGAAATCCACACGTCTCACAAACAGGCTGTGTTGACAAAGCTGTGAGAAAACCAGCACCTGGTCTGTTGCTGAATGTGAAGCAGTGTAAGCTGCACGGAGGGCAGCTTGGCGTCCTCTGTCCTGATTGCAGATATGTTGGCATGTGGGTGTGGCGCTTCCACTTGTCACGGGTGCAGCAGATGGCATTTGTACACAGCTCTCTGTTGCAGCGTGTCTGTAGTCAAAACGATGATTTAAATGCACATCAGTGGGGTGACTCGTTAGATTGTACCACATCCACACTGGGGAGAGCCAAACAGATTTTTAAACAGAAATTCTGTGTATATTCATATGAAAAGATTACCAAAGTATATTGTTAAATGAAAAGGCAAGGTACAGAAAACTGTGTGCGGTACACACCTCCTCTGGGGGCAGGGCACGGGTGTGAAGGGGGGAGTTCCTCTTGGGGAGAGCAAGAGCTAAGCGGATGGAGGAGGGGGTGGGAAGAAGATGCTTTGGTGTATACCCTTTTTCTACTTTCAAATGCTCTGAAGGTATTATGAAGGTATTATCTGTTCAAAAAAAAAAATTAGTTGAACAAAGCATTCAATTAGCTGTAAGCAGAACCCAGAAACTAAAATCATTAGGAGTAGAAGTGATTACGGACTTCAAAAAGGAATCTTTTTACAATCGGGCTGGCAAATAATCCAGTTAATGATGGGACCCGAAATACCAAATTGGAAAATTAAAATACTGTGTAATCCCAGCAACTCCGGCCCTGGCAGGGCAGCAGTGGTTCCCGCAGCCTCCGAATAAGCTGCTTCCTCGAGGAGAGAGCGCCTGCTAGTTTAATATTGCCCCATCTGCTCCATTCTGTAGTTGAGGGCAGGCTCAACTCCGAAAAGCACTGTGAAGGATAATTTTAGAGGAGGATGTTTTTCCTACTACATTAACGCATAGGTGGAATCTTTGTGGCTGTGAGAATAGAAGGGAAATTACTGGGAAAAGGGTTCACATCCCCGCTCAGCCCTTCTGCACTGCCCTGCGTTCCCCTCCTCTGCCCTGCACTTGCTCTCTCCTTTCCTCTTCATCTTGTCCCTCACTGATGTTTGCCCATTTACTTTCTTCTCCACCCTAAAGGCTGCAAGCCGTGAGAAGTCAGTAAAATTAACAGGCTTGTTGTTCCTTTTCATTCTGTTGGAACAAAACCTCTGCATTTTGTCATCTTTTACAGTAAAGCTAATAAAAGGGCAGAAAACATAAAAGTTTTTGTAAACTTCCCATAGTATTAGCATAGGGCCATGTTCAGAGGAGCACTTAAGATTATTTGATAATGGAAGTGGCACTAATTTGTGATGAACTAAATTCTCTGGGGAAGAAAAATAATTCTCTTGCCTTTTTTTTTTTTTTTAAGATCTTATTTATTTCAGAGAGAGAGAGAGCATGTAAGCATGAGTGGGGAGAGGGGCAGAGTAAGAAGCTGACTCCCCGCTGAGCAGGGAGCCTATGTGGTACTCGATCCTAGGACCCTGGGATCATGCCCTGAGCCGAAGGCAGATGCTTAACTGACTGAGCCACCCAGGCATCCCTAATTTATGGACTTTAAAAAAGCAAGAGAATTGGGGCACCTAGGTGGCTTAGTGGGTTAAGCGTCTGCCTTCAGCTCGGGTCATGATCCCAGGATCCTAGGATCAAGTCCCACATAGGCTCCCTGCTCAGCGGGGAGTCTGCTTCTCCCTCTGCCTGCTGCTCCCCCTGCTTGTGCATGCACTCTCTCTCTCCTCTCTCTGACAAATAAATAAATAAATAAAATCTTAAAAAAAAATAAAGTCCATAAATTACACACACATGCCAACTTGCAATGCACCCTAAAGCATTCCATAGTAACTAGCCATGACTTTCTGGCGCACAGCATTATTCAACGTGAGTACAGGAAGGTTCTCTAACTTTTAAGTCACTGGGAATTTTAGGCATCTCCCATTTCTAGAAGAAATGCTTAAAATGTAACCCATACTTCATTCTAGGGCATGAAAACATCTGGCAAGCAGGACGAGGCCTGGATCATGAGCCGGCTGATGAAACAACTCACAGACATGGGCTTCCCGGTGACTGGTGTCTTATTTTACTGCTCACCTCCGTGTGTGCTGCCTTGCATGGCCCCAATTGTGTCCTGCCCACGTTTGTCATGCATAACAAGGAAGGAAGACTTTTGAGGGAGGAGAGTGTTCATACAACCTAATTTGTAAATTCCCCTTTCACACAAGCACTTCTGTTAAGGGAGCATTGCTTTCAACTACAGCAAGGATCCACACTGTTTCTGTCAAGTAAGGTGTGAGAGCCTTTTCCTGGAATAACACATGCTGTGTGATTGTTCTTTTCCTTGGCTTATACAGTTTCATACTTTCCTTTAATTTATAATTAAAAGTGAGTTTTCGTTAGTTCATGCAGTAGATTGACAGATGACAAGAGAAAATTTGGTATAAAGTACTAAAGTTCTGTGTCCAGAAGAAGAATCCTCACCAAGCCTATTGAGTAGGACCTGACTCTCAGGTCCTGGGTGGGGAGAGCTCACATTGCAGGATGACCCTCTGAAAATGTGTCATGATGTGTTCAGTTCCTGAGATTGAATGCAGGGGTTCAGATAGTGTGGATATCACCTGCGTCTGTTACATCTTCCCTTCAAAGGTCTTCTTTCCAGATCATTACTCAAGCGAATATTTATCTTTTGATTACTGTGAATGTCCCTAAAGAATGAGTGCAGCATGGCCCAGTCTAGAAACTGTATACTTCATAGCAGGCCCAGGCCCTCTGACACTGGGCAGGGCACAGACCCAGGGGTGGCCCAGCCTCTTCCCGTATGAGAGGACAGGCGGGACACTGGAGGCCTGCCCAGGTGTCCCCATTTCTACTGTGGTGCCTGCACACGCTGACATGCATCTGTTCCCATCATAGGGATAATTACGAAAATGAATCTACTTGTTTGGATTTGATTTGTTTTTACGTTTCTTAGTGAAAAACAGTTGACAGCAAAGCCCAGAGTCCATAAAGTAGAGAATGAAGCTCTGTGCTCTAACTCCTACAGTAACTTTCCCGAAACTGTGCTGGTGGAGATTTCATCTTTGCTGAATGGTTTCTTCTTGTACAGAATCAATGACAAGATTCCACGGGCACTGTACGTTTTGTTTTTAAAGTGTTAAATGTAAATTCGTTGAAAGTCAATTCAATACATGTTCTTATTCTGAGTGCCCTTTACTTAGAAGACCTTTGTCTCTAGCCTCAACAACAAAGAGAAGTATTCCCAGTTCCAAAACCTAGTAATAAAGGGTAATGTTAGGTCACTGTTAGGTCAACAATAATAATTTCTCTAAGCTAATAGGGATAGAACTCTTTACTAGCTTTTTTGTTATTATAAAAGCATAATCCTAACTAAAACTATTTTCCTACACAGAGAGAGCCAGCTGAAGAGGCCTTGAAGAGTAACAATATGAATCTTGACCAGGCCATGAGTAAGTAATACGATGCACACTTAAAGCACACTTGTTTAAAAGGTACCAGTGTGTGGAGTTTGGATTTCCAGAAACATTTCATTGTAGTCTTGGGTTAATGGTGGAATATGTACTGGGTAGACAGGACCAGGCTTCGGCAAAGGAGTAACCACATGACATGCAGTAACCACACAGCAAGTCTCTGGAGACTGGTGATCTCAGGACAAACGGCCAAACCCCGCATGGAGGCATGTTTGATTCTTTCATTTTTTTCTAGTACTTCGACAAATAGACGAGGTTTTCCATCCATTCTGAGGAGAGGTCATAGTGACGTTCTTTGAGAAAGACACTAGGACCACAGGCCAGACTTCATTTGACACTGATTGAGCCCATTCTTCACGCCCGGCCCCAGAATGGGCTTGCTCAGGGGCCAGCAGAGATGTCCCTGTGCTGGTGGAGCGCTTACTCTGTGTGAGAGATGAGATTTACCTCAAGAACAAGCCACCCTCATTCTGGAGCTGCTTTAAAAGTAGTAATAACTAAAGGCGATAAATAGTCAGAATTGGAAAACTATCACTGTGTTTTAGAATGGTATATTAAACTCAACTACAGCATAAAGGTTAAAGGAAAAGAAGATTAAACATAACTGGCTACTACAACTTGGTAACAAAATCTCAGCACAAAAAAGAGATAATTTGTGAAATCAAAATATAAAAGGGGAAGAGCAAAAGGATGGAACTTTTGTAAGCCAACAAAGAGAAATTGCTGTTAGCAGGAAAAGGACTTTCTGTCTCTGAGATGTTTAATGTAGACCTCATGGTAACCACGAAGCAAACATCCAGAACAGAGACACAAAACACAAAAAGGGGAGACAGAAAGTGGATAACCACCAATGTACAAAGGTAGACAGGGACAGAAGGAAAAACAGTGAAGAGACAGAATAACCAGAAGGCAAAAGATAAAAGGACAGCAGTAAGTCCTTACATGTCAGTAATCTCTCTCTCTTTTTTTAAGATTTATTTATTGTAGAGAACGAGCACTAGCGGGAGGGGCAGAGAGAGATGGAGAGGGGAAATCTCAAGCAGACTCCACACTGAGCGTGGAGCCCAAAGTGGGGCTTGATCCCACAGCCCGAGATCACAACCTGAGCCGAAATCAAGAGTCATACACTTAACCCACTGTACCACCCAGGTGCCCTGTCAGTAATCTCTCTTAATGTCAGTGCACTGAACTCACCGATCAGAAGGCACGGAGTGACTGGATGGATTAAAGCCACAAGTCCCAACTCTCTGCTGCCTACCGGAGACTCATTACAGCTCTAAGACACACACAGGCTCATGTTGAAAGGATGGAAAATGATATTCCAAGCAAACAGAAACAAAAAGAAGACAAGCATAGCCATACTCGATACCAGACAAAATAAACTTAAAGCCAGAATGGGTAACAAGAGTCAAAGAAGGTATTTATATGATGAAATGGGTCAATACATCAAGAAGATGTAATGGTTGTAAAAATACATCCATTCTCAACACCTGATCACCAAAGTACATTAAGTAATTAATAACAAATCATAAGGGAGAAATAGATATTACAGTAATTGGAGGGGACGTCAGATACCCCGCTATCAACAATGGATAGATCATACAGACTGAAAACCAACAAGGAAAAATTGAACTGAACCACACTTTAAAGCAAATGGACTTAAAAGACATACACAGGGCGCCTGGGTGGCTCAGTTGGTTAAGCGACTGCCTTCGGCTCAGGTCATGATCCTGGAGTCCCTGGATCGAGTCCCGCATCGGGCTCCTTGCTCGGCAGGGAGTCTGCTTCTCCCTCTCCCACTCCCCGTTTGTGTTCCCTCTCTCGCTGTGTCTTTCTCTGTCAAATAAATAAATAAAATCTTTAAAAAAAAAAAAAGACATACACAGAGGATGCCTGGGTGGCTCAGTCAGTTAGGCATCTGCCTTCGGCTCAGGTCATGATCCCAGAGTCCGGGGATCGAGTCCCACATCGGGCTCCTTGCTGGGCGGGGAGCCTGCTTCTCCACTCTCCCTCTGCCTCTGCCTGCTGCTCTTCCTTCTCGTGGTCTCTTGCTGTCGCTTACAAATAAATAAAATTTTTAAAAAAAGGTAAAATAGAATCTTAAAAAAACAAAGACATACACAGATATTCCATCCAACAGCTGCAGAATACACATGTTTTTCAAGCACACATGGAACATTCTTCAGAATAGATCCCTCCCCCTTTTTCTAAAGGTTTTATTTTTAAGTAATCTCTACACCAAATATGGGACTCGAACTCAGTGCCTCTCCAAGGTAGATCCTGATAGGCCATAAAACTAACCTTACTTTTGGGGCACCTGGCTGGCTCAGTCAGTTAAGCGTCTGCCTTTGGCTCAGGTCATGATCCCAGAGTCCTGGGATTGAGCCCTGCATTGAGCTCCCTCCTCAGTGTGGAGTCTGCTTCTCCCTCTCCCTCTGCTACTCCCCCTGCTTGTGCGCTCTCTCTCTCTCTCTTAAGTAAATAAAGTCTTTTAAAAAAGAGAGATTCAGTCAATAAATCTAAACACAGAAAACTCCAGGACCAAATGACTCACTGGCAGAAATTCTACCAAATACTGAAGAAGAGTTAACATCAGTTCTTCTCAAACTCTTCCAAAATATCAAGAAGAGGACACTTCCAGACTCATTCTACCAGGCAGCATTACTTTGATACCAAGACCAGATGAGGATACCACAGGAAAACTACTGACCAATATCCCTGATGAATGTAGATGCAAAAATTCTCCACAAAAATACTAGCAAATTGAGTTCAGCAACACTCAATGAGTAAGATTATATTCCATGACCAAGTGGGATTTATACCTAGGATGCAAGGCTACTTCAGCACACAAATCAATAAATGTAACACATCAACGTCAATAAAATGAAAGATAAAAATCATGTGATCATCTCAATAGATACGGAAGAAACGTGGCGAGATACAGCATCGTTTCATGATTTAAAACAAAACAAAAAAACACACTTAGCAGACTGGGTATAGAAGGAATGTCCCTCAACATAATAAAGGCCATACACAACAAACCCACAGCTAACATTATTCTCAGTGGAGAGGAATTAAAAGTGTTTCCCCTAAAATCAGGAACAAGGCAAGGATGCCCATTCTCTCCACTCCTATTCAATATAGTACCAGAAGTCCTAGCCAGGGCAATTAGGCAGGACAAAGAAAAAGAAAAAAGGCATCCATGTTGGAAAGGAAAAAGTCAAATTCTCGTTTTTTGCTGATGATATGATCCTATATAGAGAGAATTCCAAAGAATCAGTCAAAAAACTTAGAATTAACAATTTCAGTGAAGTGGCAGAATACAAAATCAACATCCAGAAATCAATTGCATTCCTTTACAGTAATGATGAAGCATTGAAAAAGAAAGAAAACCATCCCAATCACAATAGCATTAAAAACAAAATACTTAGGAATAAATTTAACCAAGGAAGTAAGAGATCTGCCCAGTGAAAACTGCAGGACTTTGCTGAAAGAAATTGAAGAGGATACAAACAAATGGAAGGGCATCTCATGTTCATGGATCGAAAAATCTAATATTGTAAAGATCAGTTAAATTGCAGTCCCCATCAAAAAACTGAAGGCATTCACAGAAGAAACAATTCCTAAAATGTGTGTGGAACCATAAAATACTCCAAATAGCCAAAACAGTCCTGAGAAAGAACAAAGTTGGAAGTATCACACTTCTGGATTTCAAACTGTACGACAGAGCCACAATAATCAAAACAGTGTGGTACTGGAACAAAAATAGACACATCTGGGGCCCCCGGCCGGCTCAGTCAATGGACATGTGACTTGATCTCAGGGTCTTGAGTTCAAGCCCCATGTTGGGCCTAGAGCTTACTTTAAAAAAAAAAAGTTAGACACATCAACCAGTGGAATAGAACAGAGCTCAGAATTAAACCCCATCAGATACAGTCAACATAATATTCAACAAAGGAGCCAAGAATACTCAATGGGGAAAGGATAGTGTTTTGACACGTGGTTGGGGAAAAATGGAGAAACTTGCAGAACGACGAAATTGGACCCCTGTTTCACACCACTCATAAAAATTAGCTCATAATGGATCAAAGATTTAAACAAAAGATCTGATACCATAAAACTCCTAGAAAAAAACTTAAAGAAGAGGCCTGTCAATATTGGTCTTAACAGAGGCGCCTGAGTGGCTCAGTCATTAAGCGTCTGCCTTCGACTCAGGTCATGATCTCAGGGTCCTGGGATTGAGCCCTGCGTCGGGCCCCCTGATCGTGGGAAGCCTGCTTCTCCCTCTCCCACTCCCCCTGCTTGTGTTCCCTCTTTTGCTGTGTCTCTCTCTGTCAAATGAATAAATAAAATCTTTTAAAAATATATATATTGGTCTTAGCGATAATTTGGGGAGCATGACGTCAAAAGCACAAAGAACAAAAGAAAAATTAACAAATGGGGCTACGTCAAACTCAAAAGTTTCTGCACAGCAAAAGAAACAAAATAAAAAAACCCTAAAGAATGGGAGAAAAATTTTGCAAGCCATATGTTGGATAAAGGGTTAATATCCAAAATATATAAAGAACTCAGTCAACTGAAACAACAAAAAAAGCATGGTTTTTAAAAATGGGTAGAAGCTTTGCGCAGTGGCAGTATCGTAGCCAATGAGGTTTATCCGAGGCACGATTATTGCTAATTAAAAATGGGTAGAATAACTAAATAGACATTTCTGCGAAGAGATCAGATGGCCAACAGACACACGAAAAGGTGCTAAGCGTCTCTCATCATCAGGGAAACGCAGATCAAAATCACAATGAAATCTCACCTCATCCCCGTCAGAATGGCTTTCTTCATCGAGAAGACAAGGGACACGGGTGCTGGCGAGGACATGGTGAAAAGGGAACCCTTGTGCACTGTCGGGGGGAATGTAGATTTGTCCGACTGGTATGGGAAACCATATGGAGGTTCCTCAAAAAATGTAAAGTAGACTCACTGTACGATCCAGCAATTCCCGTTCTGGGTATATACGCAAAGGATGAAAACAGGATCTAGACAGGATCTCTGTACTTCTGTGTTTATTGCAGCATTATTCACAATAGCCAAGGTATGGAAACAAGTCAGACGCCCATCCACAGATGAATGGATAAAAAGGATGTGGTTCATGTACACAGTGGAATATTACTTAGCTGTGAGAAAGCAGGATCTCCTGCCATCTGCACCAACATGGACAGACCTTAAGCACATGATGCTGAGTGAGTGAAGTCAGACAAAAACAAGTACTTAATGATCTCACTTATATGTGGCATTTATCCAAGTTCAACCTGTAAAGCACAGACAGCAAATGGTGGTTACCTGGCAGCGCGGGTGGGGAGATGAGTGGTGGTGTTTCAGGGTACAGATTTGTAACAAGCAGTAAGTAAGCCACAGAGATCCACCACCCTGCGCTTGTCCACAGATGACCTCAAAAGTGCCATGATTACTGATTTGGGGCTACCGATAAATTTACCCAGCCGGTGAATTCACAAGCACAGAATCCGTGAATGATGAGGACCAACTTTGTAATTAATGTGCAGGTGCCGAAATGTGTGGTATGAGCTGCCGGGACAGAAATGACAATCCGTGTGAGCTAGAAGTTAGTTGTAACTTGTTATAAGTGTAAAATAGCACAAAATCAAAGGTAGCCATGCCAAACCAGTCACTAGCCCAAGCCCATGAGGACAAAAACCTTGCCTGTTTTCACATGATACTGTGTCCCCAGTATCTGGAAGAGCCCTTGCAGCTCACGGGGATGCAGGAAATGGAAATCAAGGGCTGTGAGGGGTCAGCGGTGCCATTTTAAACAGGAAGATCAGGGCAGGAACACAACCGGGGAAGGCTGCGTGAAGGAGGGGGTACATCCCAGTGGGGAGGAAAGATAGGCCCCTGAGGGGCAGAGTGGCAGGTGGATTGGAGTGGGCGGAGCAGGAACAGGGACGAGAGCAGGGCCCGGTCATAGACTGTGGGGCTCGCAGGAGCAAAACCATGGCCTCCCTGTTTTCCATGGGGTTGAGAGGCTCCAGCTGGTGCTCATCACTCCTGACACTCGTTGGGCGGTTAGGTGTAAGTGTTGCTTCTGTTTGCTCCAGGCGCCCTGCTGGAAAAGAAGGTGGACGTGGACAAGCGTGGACTGGGAGTGACCGACTATAATGGAGTGGTCACCAAAGCCCTTGGCTGCCGCCCACCAGTCTCCAAAGACTCTTCCGGGGACCGCCCCACCTTTCTCGACAAGGTATGAATTTAGGGGGTGTTTTGTTTGTTCATTTTTAACAAGAGGTATTTTTCATTTTAACTCTGTCCTTAATGCAAGCTGGATTCAATACTTGCCGGACTGCATGTAATATTTAAGTGACTTTTACCCACTTTTTAAAAATATATGTGAACGTTTAACTCAGAAGAAATAGTGTTACTGTTATACGATGTAGGTAGGGTTAAAAAGTACCGAAATTGAAAACTGATTTTCATTTTAGTGGGTGAACTTGGCTGGCTTATCTGCTTCAATTTGTCCAATAACAAGGGTCATCAAATTTGTTTTACTGTCTTATTTTATAAGACATTGGAAATGATGTGTTACATGTTTAATCTGAGAAAAAGAAACTAGAAGTGGTTGGGCGCAGGCAGCCGTGTCTAGTCGGCCCAGCTCGGCTGCTTCAGAGAGCGTGCGGGTGTCTGCTGGAAGCCCCTGGGGTGATTCCACGTGTCCAGACACCAGTTCAGCCCCTTCAGGATAGTCATGTACTGATGTCCCCTCTCCAGATGGGTGTGCCTTCAAAAGGAGGGGGAGAACAGCATCCCATGAAAATCAGTCAAAATGTTGAACCTTGAAAATAAAATTGAAGCAAGAAGGGACAGGTTTAGAAACAAATCACAACAAAGCAGAAAGGCTCACAGGAGAGAGAGATAACACTTCATCTCTGCCCACAAATGAACAGGATCCTCGGCCACACACTCCCCTCCAGAAAGCTGTGGCTGGGTAGGGCCTGGGGGGAGGGTCAGGTCTGCCCTGCCCCCTGCTGTGCCTCCGGTCACATCCAAGATCCTTAGTGAACTTGGAGTACACATAAACAGCCAGTCATAGGTGGAGCACACTTAGTCTAAAATATTATTTGTTGTTTATGTGAAATTCCAGTTTAATTTGGTATCTTGTATTTAACTTGCTAAGTGCGGGACCCTGACTTATTTCCTTATCTTTAAAATGTAGAATAATACAAAAAAAAAAAAAAAGAAAAGAAAAGAAATGAAGAATAATACTACATGCTGGTTGTGGAGTTAGAGGAGATAAATTTGCAAAGGGCCTGACGCATAATGTGACCTTAATAATGTAAAAGAGTAAGATCCATCTGCTTTATAACTTACCCTGTTATTGGATTAAACCATATGAAACAGCTGAATGCCGGCAGAATGCAACCAAATGTACCCCTAGAGCCCTGGTACTGAAGGAAGGCAGCCTGTTTATTTGAAAATGGTTGTAAAGTGTTTTCCAAATAAGACTTGCTAATGTTTCTGTGCTTCTCCTGAGCCCTGCACCGGGCGGAGTCATCAGGGTCTGAGCACATTGTAAGCTAATGTATGTGTGAAGTAATGGTTATGAGAACAGCATCTTAATCCTCTTTCTCTTTTTCTTTTCCCCTCTTCCTTTGGCCCATGTTCTCCATTCTCTTGCTACCCACACTTTTTTGATCTTTTAATTCTTTATCCATCCATACCCCTTTATATGTCCTTGGGAAACTGCTTTGTGCATTGTCTGCGGATGGACACTGCACGCAGCTCACCCTTTCTTTCTCCAATCAGGACGGCGGCCTAGTGGAAGAGCCCACGACTTCACCGTTTTTGCCTTCACCAAGCCTGAAGCTCCCCCTTTCAAACAGTGCACTCCCTAATCAGGCCCTGGGTGGGATTGCCTCAGGGCTGGGCATGCAAAACTTGAATTCTTCTAGACAGGTAAGGCTGTGGGGAGAGAGCCATTGTGGTCTCGGTTTCACCTGCCTCTAACAAATGTGTTTGGGACATACACTTTGATTTTTAACTAATACCTGTACTTTAAAATACAGTCGAGGGCGCCTGGGTCTCTCAGTTGGTTAAGCGACTGCCTTTGGCTCAGGTCATGATCCTGGAGTCCCGGGATCGAGTCCCGCATCGGGCTCCCTGCTCGGCAGGGAGTCTGCTTCTCCCTCTGACCCTCCTCCCTCTCATGCTGTCTCTCATTCTCTCTCTCACAAATAAATAAAATCTTTAAATAAATAAATACAATACAATACAGTACAGTCGAGTATGTTAAGGTAGCTGAAATAGGAGAAGGATTTCCCTTCAGGTGATGTACAGGTTTGGGAGTTGAGTCCAGTTCTTGAAATTGAACCATGTTGTAGGAAATGCTTCCAAACTTTAATTATTTTTACACATAACGAACACACACGTGAGTTCAGTGCCCTCAGTGCTCAGTACTGCTGGTTTAAATGGTGCGTCCTGCAGGGTGTTCTCCAGCTGCCAGGTCCCTTCATGGATCTGGGTGATGCCATCCTGTGCACCAGCGGTCCAAACCTTCCATACCATGGTCTTTGAGAAAACACCACGTGCTCCCCCTGCTCCCTGAAATAGAGGTGACATCCCTGTGGTTTCCAGAGAGCCATGTTGGTGTCTTCCCTTCTCTGACACTCAGGGGAGGTGAGAGCCCCTGTCAGGCATCACAGAAGGGAGGACTTCGAGTTTGTGTTGACCACGGCTCCATGGCCCTTGTGTCTCCCAGTCCCCCTGGAAGACATGACCCGTCCGTAGGACGTCCTTTTCATGGATTCGCTCGCACGGGAGGCTGACACGCACCCACCTCTGAAGCAGCTCTTTAAGTAGACGCTGTGATGTTTGGGGCGGCCCAGCAGGGCCACGTGCGCGCCTATAGTCCCAGGGTAGCAGTTGGTGGGGCCTCAGCCCGCGGTCTCACGTGGCTGATGCTGCTGGTGGTTCAGTGCAATGCCTGCTTTCCGGGGGTTCTGCCATCGGACGGCGAACAGGCTGGCGGGCGGGGTGCTGGGAGCGAGCCCACCCGCTGCCGCAGAGCAGAAAGTACGCCTAAAATGCAGTGGTGCTATTTAACACAACGGTAACTGCCTGGATTTATCCATTTATTCAGCTTCCGCTTTGGTTGAAATTATACTCCTGTTTCCTACTTGAAAATGTTGCTGGCCCCAGGTTAGCAGTCCGCACCCCACCGCAGATAGTCTGTGAGAAAAGCCTCCGAACCCCATGGCGTGCGTTGCTGTTGTTTGGAACACTGTATTATGATAGTTTCTGTGGACGCGGTAGCCTCGTTTGGGGCCCCTTTCCGACTGGCACTGTCGCGTGAAGACATGGGCAGCCTTCACGGCTGGCAGCCCGTCGTCCACAGCCAGCCTGCCCGGCAGCATCTACTGTGAGTTCACTTCAGTAGAAGTCGTAGAAGTCGACAGCGGTAGGAAGTAGGGAGGATTTTGCTGTCGCATTTAGGAAGGCAGAGCCTCCTCCAGAGCTCCGGGGCCGCCCGGCTCCGTAGCGACCCGGCCCGTGCCATCTCCCCGCAGATGCCGAGTGGCAGCCTGGGTATGTTCGGCAGCAGCGGAGCAGCGCAAGCCAGGACCATGCAGCCGCCGCCGCAGCCCCCCGTGCAGCCTCTGAGCTCCTCCCAGCCCAGCCTCCGTGCTCAAGTGCCTCCGTTTCTATCCCCTCAGGTGGGACCCGCGGCGACTCGGATGGGCGTTGTGTGTGTCTGTGCCGCTCGACGTCACTGTTTGAAAGTGAGAGCCAGTTCATTCACCCACCCCCGAGCGCGGCCTTCCTCTCCGCCCGTCCACCGGTCCCCCGGCCCCCCGGCCGCGGGAGGCGTTTTCAGAACGGCCCCTGGGGGCGGCTAGGTGTCCACCGGTTGGGAGCCATGCTGCTGGGTGAAAAGATCCACCTCACACGCACTGTAATGCGGTTCTTGTCCGGGTCTTAACAGAATTATTCAGATGAACCCGATGAATTGTCCTAGGTGGGAGAGGAAAATGACAAGCTGAAACATTGCTTAACCCGTAAGGGGGCACGTAAGAGCACTCAGGGCCTGAAGAATGCTTTGGTGGCCACCTGCATGTGATCATAGATCATATTATATATTAATATATTACTGGCTCCTTAGTTAAGTTTATTACTTAGTATTAGACCATTTTTGCCCAGAGATTCTTTAAAAAAAAAAAGTGTCAAACAGAAAAGGGAAAGGATATCTTGTTTTGCATAGCTCTAAAGCATATAGATTTTTTTCATGTTAATTATGTTTACTTTTAGAATATTCCATAATTTTACACTTTGGACTGAGTTTTTCCTTACAGTGTTTCAGTCCTCATCCCTTTTAAAAATATTCAGTGATAGATTACTAATGATAAGCTATAGAATTAGTTGGAAGTAGTTAACCCTCCACAATTGGTTGAACCCAGATTTGTGCACTGAGTTGAGATGGCTGAAATGTAGGTGAAACAGGAGTTAAATTCATTCATCAGGATACAGGGTGGGCTGCGATACCAGACACCCCAGAGTGCAGAGGCTTAGACAAGACAGGCATTCGCTTCTCTGGGTGGCCATGCAGGAGGCAGCGGCTCAGGGCTGTGGGGCGCCTCTGCCACAGCCCTTCCCGATTGCTGGAAGCTGCCCAGAACACATCCACTTGTGTCCCACTGCCCGCGCCTGGGGACACAGCCACCCCGCCTGAGGGGCAGAGGGAGAGCTGGGCCTGGGTGACCGGCAGCAGGCTTCCCACACTCAGCAGAGCACGTGTTACCCTTGTGCCCCACATGACCTGTACTGTCACACAGCGTGTTTTCTTTAAATGACTTGCCTGCTTAAATAAGTGTGTTCTTAAAGCAAACTTTACCTACCTGTCATAAGTAGGAAAAAAAATCACATTTTTCTGATACACATTAGACAACTATTAAAGTGAAAGAAGCCCGTCCATGTTCTACCTAAAATCATCTTGCATAAATGTTGTGATAAACATACATAACCCATGGTGGAAAACATTGAAATCTCCAGCGCCAGGCCCCAGATTGTTTCAGTGCAGTGAATTCCAGTTGAAGAGATCCCCCTGAACGGGAATGCGGATTGACCGTCCAGGGCAGGGCCGGCAGAGGGCGCAGACCACTTCCCGAGCCCATCCTGGGCAGAGATCCTCCTGGGGGTGGCGTGGTGCCTGCCAGCAGGAGCGACTTCTTCCCTGAGACCCCACATTCACTATCTCCCGTCCTTAAATTATGCCCATTTATTTTCGCTGTGACAGAATGTGAGATCAGTTTTCGATAGGAGTTACCCAGAGCCCTAGCATCTTAATTCGTGTCTAAAATATTTGGCGGTAGAAGGCTCTTTCTCTCCTTCCTTCCTTATTTTCTACAGAAGCATGTTAACTACTAATGGCAAAAAGCCCATGAGTTTTTTAATGGCTTTTGAAGTTCATTCTTGAGACAAGCATAACTGTCATTAATTCATCAGTTCTGCATCTTGAAACACTGCCTGGACAGGTGGCCATTTCGACAGGGACACAGTGCCTGACACTCTGTGTTGTGTTCAACAGGTTCAAGCACAGCTTTTGCAGTTTGCAGCAAAAAACATTGGTCTCAACCCTGCACTATTGACCTCGCCAATCAATCCTCAGCATATGACGATGTTGAACCAGCTCTATCAGCTGCAGCTGGTAAGTGGACAGATCATTCAGCCTCTAGAACTAAGGAAGAGTGCACACTGACATTCATGAAGCTATGCCAGCAACCTAGCCACTAATAAAAGTAGTTAGTTAATGCCTCACTTTCTTCATGTCAGACTGTTGAAAAAATTAGGAAGTTTTTCACTTAAGAGTGTCAGTTCTCTGGCCCCATCACAGAGTGTCCCAGACCTTACCAGGAGGCGTGTCCTTCGGCTCAAGGTCTCAGCTAGCCTTTCTCATCCAGAGTTTCCCGTCAGAACCACAGAACACAGAAACTCGTTTGAGTGACGATTCTCTAAGTTCTTCAAGGGTGGGACACACAAAGACTGTTCTGGAAGCGTGAAAGAGAAGTTACTTCATTACATACAGTAGATGCCATAGAGATTAGGGTTTAATGCCCTCTCACAATCCCTTTTGAGAAAGGCTGATGTAGCCTAATAATTCTTGAAAGTTTTACAATTTAACATACCTTAAATTTTTAATTTTCAACAGTCTTACTGCTTTTACCATAAAATGCCGTGTCACTGTATCTCTAGATGCATACTGGATTTATATACACTAAAAGACCTTTCTTTAATATGTTGACACCTGCTTTATTTCGAAGTCTTGTCCAGTAACTTCATCTCCTTGAAAATGACCAGGAATCCTTAAGGAAGGAAAAAAGGCCTCTGGTAGACAAAAGCATTGATGCCAAAGCTTTCCTTATAGGAGAGCCCTGGGCCCTGTCCGTCCTCACAAGATCTAACCAGTCTAAGGGTCCAGTTTTCCAGTAAGTAGCAGTGTGGGATGGGAGGAAGAAAGTGCCCAGAGAAAATCGTAGTTTCAGGGAGAACACAGAGCTCAGGAAGTGGGGTCACGACTATGTTAGGCTCTCAGAGGCTGTTTCTTTGTCCATAAAATTGGAGACGGGGGGCACCTTGCAGCGTGGTAGGAAGGCTTCCCAGGACCTGAAAGCGCGGTGGGTGGGTGGTTCGAGTGCACAGGACTATTGCTTTTACTACCAGCAGCAACAGGGAGAGACCCCTGACCTCAAAGATGGAGAAGGAAACAACCATAAAAGTCAGGCACACATTTAAAAAGCATATTATGTAGAGGTATTATTATAGAGGAAAGTAGCTTTCTGCTTCTTGGTAACACTGAAGACATGGCTGTATTCTGACATGAGACATAGCTAGTTATCATACTGATGTTCTAAAATCTCTTATATGGTAATTTTTATTGACCCCTATAATGTGAAAGACATCAAGAAAATCTCTTTTTTTTCCATTGAGGCATTTTATTTACACATACATATTACATCTCTAGAAAAAGAAGCCCAGGATTTTCCCTCCTGTGCATTTTCATCTTGCTTCTTCATGGCCCATAATGCCAGCTGAGCTTGTCAGTACAATGAAACCAAATTGGCAGGACAGGAGCAGATTATTCCGCCATTTTTCTAGATCTTTGAGTTATACATCAGAACTGGGGCTGATCTCTCCACACTTGTTTAACCTGCCCGTGAGGTTGACAATGATTTTCCCAGCTGATAGACAAAAGCATTGATGCCAAAGCTTTTCTTACAAGAGAGCCCCAGGCCCTGTCAGTCCTATAACCCTTACTGCCCATTAGACTCAGTCTAACCAGTCCAAGGGGCCAGTTTTCCAGTAGTAAGTGGAGCCCCAGGCCCTACTTACTACTAGAAACCCGACAATGATATTGGAGCATGGCCTAGTAAGAGTCTGGCCTTCGCCTCTCTTTTCAGCATTGTTAGTGCTCTTGAGAGCCTCTACCAGGACATTCATGTGAACCATGATGGTAGCATGGAAAAAGATGGTGGAAAAAGCGAGAAAATCTTGAATTATGTTTAATGTGTTCTGTTTTAAATTTTTTTTTTTCCCAAAAATTCATAAAATAAAGTTTTGGTGCATCCTGAGGTTGTTTTAGGGCCTTTAAGGATTCACTTAAGTGGAGTATTTTGTTCCTCTATAATTTACAGATTAATGAGGCATTTCTAATAGTATAGTCTCTACCTTTATATGGATCTTGTTTTAATAAATCCTCTTGCTAAACATGTCCTCAAAAATCCATATTATAAGAAAAAAATGTATGATCGGCAGCCAGCATTTTGAAGCGATCAAATGATGGAACCTCCGCATGGCTGTGTGGAAGGTGCTCACGGTTAGCCAGCTTGGCAGGTGGGCCTGTAACAGTGCCACAGGCCGGTTTCAGGCAGCCTATGGGGGTGACATGATCATGCGGCCCCTGGCACTCCCAAGCCTTGAGTCTGTGTTGTTCTGATTCTCTGGGGTGGCCACTCACTCTGTTCTGCTAGGGTCTGAGCCACTCTGGATAACTTTCATCTATATCACTGTAAGAATCAGTAGTTTTTCGTTTTCCCATCATTTCTTTTACTTTTAGTTTGTAAGATTTGAGGAGAAGAATTTTGATCTCTTCGTTAACTGAAAAATATTTGCTGACAAATCTCATTACCTACACTAAAGGGTACTGACTGAATTACTTTTTAAAAATCTACGTGCTAGGGGCGCCTGGGTGGCTCAGTCGGTTCAGTGTCTG